TACGAGTATCCCCCGCACCCCGCGCTCCCCTCAGAGGACCTGAGTTAGAACCCGTATAGTATATCTACTAACATCAGATATTTGTAACGAAAAATGGATGACTTTTCAAGTACGATATCCTGATCCTGGGACATTAGAAATTCGCACGCAGTTAGTTGAATTAATTAATATCGATGCTAAAGATTCCAGCGCAGATAAATTGTTTAACTCATTTAAAAATAAAATGTACAAATTTAAGGTGCCATTTTCTAATATTATTGCTCTGTCATGCGACAATGCGTCTGTCATGACAGGGAAACATGTATCATTCCAAAAAAAATTGGAAAAAGTATGTCCACATTTATTAACATTTCCATGTCCTTGCCATTCCGCTGCGTTAGCAGCGCATGCTGCAAGTGATAAAATACCTGAGGTTTGCGATCGATTCACTAAAATTATAGTTACTTACATAAACAGTAGTCTAAAACGTTTAGCAGTTTTTAGGGAATTTTGTGAATGTTTCGAAGGAAAAACTTTAAAATTATTAAAATTATCCGATACACGTTGGCTTCCTCACCATGCATGTGTTGAAAGACTTCTGAAATATTGGGATACGATAAAAAATTTTCTACAGGAAGCAGTTGTAAGCGAAAAAACAAAGTCCGCGGAAAATTTATTGTCTATAATGAACAATGTAGAGACAAAAGCGTATTTCCTGTTTTTAGAATATGTTTTAAACTTCTTTAACCAATTTAATGCATATTTTCAAGCATCACAAACGCGAATTCATGTACTGCAATCAAAATGTTTACAATTCCTTTATAACATTTGCCGACATTTTTTAAAAGCTGAGCATTTAAAACCTTTCTCAATAAATATAACATTCTCTCTAAAAGAGAATCAAAAAAATCTTAATGAAATTGATTTAGGATATGATTGCGAAGAATACCTTAACGAATTAGAAACGAAAGGACACGAAGACATAGTTACAACTGTTCGATAAAACTGCTTGATGTTTTATGTGACTGCTGCGGACAAAATTCGAAAAAGGTTACCTATAAATAATATATTTTTATCAAAATTAAAAGTTTTCCAATATTTTGATACTTTATGCGATATCGATAGAGAAAAATCATTCAATGATGTTTCTTTCGTAGCTAAAACTATTGGTGGTTTTGATGAAGAAGATTTAAAGAAAGAATGGACTGCATTGCCATTAGATTTCACAGAGGAAGAGAAACAAAGTTTGTCTTTATTAAATTTTGATAATATGTTGATAAAAATTTTGCACCCAATTAATATTACTAAATATCCCAATTTAACGAATCTTTTGAATGCTATACGATCACTTCCAAATTCAAATGCTGATCCAGAAAGAATGTTTTCCCTTTTAAGTAATATTAAAAATAACGCAACAAACTTTCGTCAACGTGCGTTAACGCTTGTTGCATTAACTAACTTTTTAAGTCAGCGTTGAATGCGAGAGAAGAAACATGCTTAAATATGATAATTGATGAAAAGCATTTGTCGCTTATGTCAACGGAGAACTTATATGCTAGTGCTGCTAAAAAAGACAAAAGTACTTTAAGACTATATGCTGCAGATGTTAATGATGTTGCTGAACCCTCGTGGGCAAATTGAAAAGGTGTCCCATTAGATTATTAAAATATTGTCCGTAAATACAATAGGTATAATAAGCTTTAAGTCTTAAGCCTTATAGACGAATTGTAATCGATTATTCTTCTCATATTTACCTGATCAATTTTTTAAGGTTTAAGACTTATATATATCAGGCTTATTGCATTTATTATG